AATCAATTAAATGCAGGTTCTGATCATGGGAAAACGTACATAATTTGCGGAGGCCTTGATACTGTTACGTTTTCCCCGTGTTCGACAATTATTGATTACACTGTACAGTTGAACTCAACTTCATTTCACTACTTCACTGATAATACAGCACAAACACTTCAAATGAACTTCAGACTATTTGTTATATCAAACTTCGTACCGCACTTTCAACTAGACTTACCCAATCTGCCTGCTGGTAGTACTTGTATAGGGTATTTCATTCAGCGCTTCCTATTTTCAAATTCAAATAAAACGGAACTGTGTGTGAGATATCATCAAAATTCTTCATTCGTATGAAAGACCAATTGATGCTATTATGTATGGAATATAACATCGTTTAAATGTCCACCACGGCTTCTCTGAGTGGAGCACATCCGGAACGTCCAATTTTCCATGATTCTGGTACAAAAAATCAGGCTGGTATTGACTAATGGCTGTGGTTTGTGGTTCGCATAAACCCGCGACTCAAGAAAACCTCACAAGAAAAAGTCCAACGGGGTCAAATCGTACGATCTCGGTGGCCAGTTCACATCACCTCCACGCGAGATGACCATACCCTCAAATCGCTCATTCAGAATATCCAATTTGGCATGATCTGCGGCATCTAGCGCCGTTCTGTTGAAACCACATGTCATTGGTGTCCAGATCATCCAATTCAGGCCAAAAGAAGTTGGTATACTGTATACTGCTTGCAGTAGTAGTCTGACAATATACTTTGCAGACTCCACTCAGCTTCTTCAAAATTTGCGTGACTAAAGACATATTTTTTTTAATTCGTCTTTAAAGAAGAGAAAATGTATATTATTTCATTGATGCAATACATAAAGAGAAATCTAAAGAGCCTCTGGGAGAATAAGTTCCTGTGGAACTCATTCTCCCAGGATTTAATTTAGTACATCATGATATATCAGGTCCATGCTTGATATGTTTTGCAGAGTATTTCAGTAGGAACTGCGCTCTATAATACTGATTGGTCTCGATGTGAAACAAATTTGAAGAAAGACATAATGTTTGTACTCATGCGCTGCCAGCAACCAATGGTTCTGAAAGCAGCTTCCTTTGGAATAATGGATCACGCTATATTTCTCGCTGTAAGTTATCCGATTGCATATCGAAATTTGTAACATGAAGTTTGCTGTTTTCAGGTTGCCAAAGCGACCTACTCTTATATTACCTTATTGAGCCAGTAATGAAAACAAAAACAACTGGAGGAAAACGAAACTGACACACACTTTTGGTTTTATGAAACATAATATTAGTTTTAGGAGCAAACACTGTATCACGAAGTGCAAAATACAATAGTAATGACATCACTTACTTTGTTTCATATTTCGATAATTGAAAATTAATGTATGTGACTGCTTTATCTTAAATTTATATTTTTACTTTTTTTTCTAATACTTTCAAAAGACCTACAGTTAGGCTTGACAATTCCCATACATATAGCTGTCAAAGGGAAATAAAGATTTTATTATCAATAATATTGATTAATTGCGTTGTCATCTTTATACATTCAAAAGTGGAGACCTACACAAATCTGTTTGTTCGTTAATGGTTCTATATTTTGAGTTTTTAATTGATCTATTGATTTCCATGGCTTCCAACAAATTCATTTTCCTTCCTTTACTATATGTATGTAGGATTTTGAGGTTTTCCTTACTTATTTTGTGGTTTGTTTNTCAACTACGAACTGCCTTATAAAGTACTATTCCCGAGTAGAGAGGACTGGATCCTCCGGGAGAAGGAAATATTAAGAGCAGATAGTTGTTGGTTCACAGATGCATCAAAAACACCTTCCGGTTCTGGTGTTAAGTCGCAGACTCAAGACAGAGATGTCTATCTGCCCAGGAGAGATTGGATAAATCCTCATACACAAGTCAATAAAAATATTCTCGGACAGTTAAGCGGCGTTGGAAGCTCTTGGCTATTACCGAGCAACGACTAAATTGGTAGCAAATTGTCAAAAACGACTCTCCTCGATAGGAAGACTCAACAGAATGTCTCTGGTATGGATTCCTGGCTATACTGACCTGGAAGGCAATGAAACTGCTGACAGTACGCGTCCCCATTGCATGGGGGTCGAAAGTTCTACAACCAACGGTCATCCAAAAAGTATATCAAATACAGCGACTGGTTTGTTTTAACATCACAGGAGTCATGAGAACCAACCGCGGCAATGGAATTGATTACGGGTCTGACCCCTCTGGACCTGTACGTTAAGGAGGTTGCTTTAATGGTCATTTTACGATTGCTCACGGCTGGTGTAAACCTCAAAGTAGAAATGGGTCAATTGAGGCTGAGCCATTGGCAAGAAGCGCTTACTACGCTACTACGCATCACTGTGATGCAGTTGAACCTAGGTTTGTGTTTAATAAATCCTACAAAATACAAATAAAACATAACACAGAGTCAGATGTAACAAATACAATACGAATTATCTAAGAACAATTCGTTCAGGCCAGTCTCAAGATAGAGAAACAGATAAATTTCTTAGACCTGGCCACACACACAATCAGAATAAATTCGAGTTCAATGTTTTCAGAAAACCTAGCTATACAGACATCACCATTCCAAGCGATTCTTTCCATTCAGACAGTCATAAATTAGCAGCCTACAACTCAATGTTACACAGAGCATTCGCACTGCCTTTGTCTGCAGACAATCTAGCTAGGGAAATTGATACAATTACACAGATAGGTCATAATAATGGTTTCATGGCAGATACTATCCAGAAGTTAGTGAGGAAACGAAGCCGGAAATTCACTCACAGATTAATATATCCTCAGGTCAAACAACCAGAAATCAAGAAATGGGTAACGCTAACATATTTTGGAAAAAGAACAGAAATAATCGCAGGTTTCTTCAGAAAAAACAATGTGGAAGTAGCATCCACATGCGGACGAAATTTCCAAAAACGGTATGCTGAACATGAAAGGTCCTTCAGACTAGGAAAAAATCATTTCTTGGCATGCAACCACAAGTTTCCGAATCTAAACGATACGGAAATTCTGCACTATGCAAGGAAGGGTTGCAAACTCAATTATTTAGAATCCTTGGATCAATGATCAAATCGATTTAATTTACTCTCCGGTTTTTAAACTTCGCACATCCGCATTGTGAACTGTAAATTCAGGTACTCAGTCAAGTACCTGAATGGTATATATTGGCGAATGTAATGAATCATTGTTAGTTTATTGAATAAGTTTGAGAATGTCCATAAGTCCATATAGGACGAAACTGCAGTAACGTTAGTTACAATTAAAAGTGGTTGGAAATATAGAAATTTTCATTTCTCTTTTCATTATGAAAATATTTACTTCTTGAGTGTCTCAAAGCACAGAATTTGGCCATTTATGCCATTATTTGATATGATTCCATGATGTAATACCAACAGCTACAGCACATACCTATTTTATTCAGGTGTCCAATCAGTGGACAGTGTCGTGTAGTAGCCCGGTTATTTTTTCTTGCACTACTCCCTCCTTACTTTTTATTTCTGGCGGATATTGTATTTTTAAAGAATTATATACATTCAAAACAATTGGTTTTTCATTTATATTTAATGGTAACAATTTCGAACGCTTCACGATTCCCAAACAACTAGCTTCCATGTTGTATAGATGTTTATTCAACGTGCTCTCGAAGTAAACTGAAGAATATCACGAATAACCCCGCTAAAAAGCCAAGTCGGTCTTATTGATGGGTGCGATGTGTCTGTTGACAGTTTAATTGAAAGGAATATAATGTTCTTCTGTTAGAAGTTTTTTGACTGTGTATTGATTTATCTGTTGTCATTGTTTCTATTACTCAATGACATTGAAAAAACAGTGGACAATTTCATTGCAGCACAAGGTGCAAACTGATCTCAAGAAATAATCGATATGAAAATATGTCGAAGCCATCGATCACCTAATTAATTAAGTTCAGAATGGGCATTTACAACTGGACTAATAACGGAACGCCTGAGAATCAGTAAGTATCGAGCGCAGTCGAACTCTGAAAAAGGCGACCAGAATAGAAAATTAAGCGGACTTGGTAAAAATTGTGTATAAACAGTTTGTAGAACTACTATTTTCATTATGCGAGATGAAAATATAAAACCATAAAATAACAAACTATTCAGAATCAAAATCCAAGTTGTTTTCAAGAATAGCGCGTCTTCGGTAACTAGTTCACAAAATACTCTTACAACAAAAAATCTGAAATATTCCATTATCTCCCGAAAAATCTCCATCTTCACATCGACAAGTTAGATGAGGGCGGATAAATCATCCACAGTTGAATTGTTGTACAAAGTAGCTGTAACTCGTACATCAGTGATCATCTTCAAAGATCTTCCTCTTTGAAGATGATCACTTGGTGATCATCGGGGTGTTAAAAATAACGATTTGGCGTTGGGGAAAAAACTCCAGTTTTATTCATTACTACACCAAAGGTTCCAAACAGTGCATCATAAGTACTTTTAGTATATGTTTAAAATATGTTTTTTCCGTTAACCAGCCATTGCACTCCTACGAACGACAACCCTCAGAAGTCGAAACGTGTGACTAACGAGTTCTTACCTTTTAACGTGCTCTCTCAACCATCGTTTTGATTACCCTTCTCTTTTGTTGTGGCTGGTACCTAGAATTTTTGTTCAGGTGCCTGTCTGTGTGTCGCCATCGAAGAGGCCCCAATAGACTGCCCATCAACGTTCCAATTGAGAGAAATCAATCCACTCACACTAATATTATTATTAGTTACGGCGTTCGGAATAACGGGAACAACAACTCAAGCACCAACTCAGGTATAAAAACCTGTAGACCAAGGCCAAAAAACCCGGAAAATAGCTTTCCCGCAATCGAATACTATCCAAGATAATAATTGTACAGTTTTCACTTCATCAGTTGGTCGGATGATTTTGACCTCTTCCGTAATGTTAGTGTCATCAAATTCGATGAGATGTAATCTGTGGAATAGTTCTGTATGTATTTCTTTCAGATATTCCCTTTTGCTATGCCATTTCTTCTGTACATGTTGGATACCTGTTCATGCTGAAATACTTTTTCCTGTCTTGAGTTTCATGAACTTGGGTATAACATTTTTTTTAGAACACTATTTAAAGAACCACAGGTTTCGGTTTACTGTACATCATAGCAGTAATTTGGCCAAACGGCCAAATAGCTCGTCGAATCTAGTTTCTGATGGAGCCAATCCAACTGATCGAGCTACCGTGTAGTAACTCTCTTCCTGAATAAAATGTATTGCGTAAATTGTATGATGAATACACTAGCCCGTTACTTGATGAAAATTAATATCTCTATCCATGATAATATCGAGATATTGTTGAGTTAATATGACTTCAAGATTTTCAAAAATGGAATGTACTGAAGACAGGGCTTCTGAAATTCACAGTGGTTTTTCCATTCCATATGACAGGATATAATTTCATCATGGTCCTGCTACTGATGGATGAACGAGAAACATATGAGAGGGAAATCTTGCATAAATGTCATAATAATTCAATATCCAGCGTGGTATTAGCCGAGGAAGTAGTTGTTTTCCGACAGGCTTTTATCAAAACCTACGGTGTAGATATCTTGGTCTGCGAGGCGCGGTTTCTCTCAATTGGATTACTTGACTTTGATTATGTACAATTAAGGATGGGCAATCAGATTTCATTAATGTTCATTGTCTCTTCTTCTGCCTCTGTTTCTGCCTTCTTCTTCCGCGTTTTTCTTTATAGAATAATTCATATCGAAATATTTATTTATATATACCCATAAAGTTACAATTTCTTTCTACGAATAATTAAGAATTATCAGCGAATATAACGTCATCGATTTTGTTCGTTGGGTAAACTGAATTGAAATGGTTTTTTTTCAGAAAGTACATTTGATTCAACCAGAAGATAGAGTCTGTTTATCGGATGCATGAACATAACCTAATAAAGATGGGAAATTACTTACCCCTGTTGAAAACTACCACTTTCATTATTTTATAATTCAATGAATGAACATAACCTAATAAAGATGCGAGATTATTCACTACCACAGTTAGTATTTTATAGATTGTTGTTTCATAAAAATAAGAATTTTTGAACTAACTGAAGTATCAATTTCCTACTGGGGAAGGTAGTTTATTTTCCGTGTATTCATCATGTTATGCTTGTACATCAGATGAACGAAACTTCAAAATGGTTTCACAAGTTTCATCTAATATAACGTACGATCATGGAAGTATCTTTCATCAATATTTTTAAGTAGATCTACTGATTATGTTAGAGTTGGCATCGCTGTCAGAAGCGTCGGTTGTCTCGCACCCGCCACAATCGCGTACTCTCATTCAGTAAATGACAGTTAGTGAGTGAGGACGTGCTCGATCATTTTTAGTGCTCGTTTACATGTGCTACAACGTAATAACGTTTACATAACAGCCGAAACTAACAACGCGTCCACTAGATTATCGAAACTCGGCAGTAGATGTGTCACTTTTGAGAGATATTCTTTACGTAACATACTGTTTCGGTTCGTAAGTCATTATCAAAAAGTGAATCTAAACGAAATAAGTTCCAGATTTGCGTTGCATCACAGTGACAAATTTTATTGCGCAAGTGGTGGTTGAAAATCGATAATCAGGGGCCCTAGCACCACATGTGCTATCCAAACATGGACTAGTGTTACACAACAATGCAGCGGTACGGCATAAGTGACCCTGGACAACTGACGGATAAGAACGTCAGCCACTTCTTGAGGAAGTATCCCGATTTGTTGACCTCCCTCGGTACTTACTCCAAGTCAAAACTGAAGTGCGAAGGCAGGGTCCTGCGTAGGGACACGGAGAGAATCAAGAAGATAAAGAGGTTCAGGAAACTACCCAATTTCAGATTGAGGCAATTTGAAAGCGCTCTTTTTCAAGCCATGGACCAAAAAACCCTGCTTTTCACTTGTCCGATTTGTAGAAATGTTTTGAACAGGCCTGTGACTGTTGAATGTGGACATACTTTCTGTAGTGATTGCCTGATTTCGGTACAGAACAGTAGTTTTTCGGTTCGGTGTACAGTTTGTGCCATAGACTTGTTGACGCAAAATAGACGCATCAATGTTTTGCTACAGGAATTAGTGGAGAAATGGAGAGAAAGAAACAGAGGCAACCCAGAGTCTGGTAAGCATCAGAAATTGTTCACTTTTCTGGCAGAGTTCATAAAATTCCAATAAAATCCAATGAAAGTTATATAACACCATAACGAAAACACTGAAACGTCAACGCTTCAACTGTTAGTTCTATCGGAACTATATATTTCGATATCGAAGCTCCATTAAATTTAATGAGCGACCTTGAGGTTACATGAAGTTATATAACTCCTTATCACATCAGCTCATAGGCAATAAAGGGGACTTTTGTGTAATGTTTGGATTCGTTACTTTTTATTCTGTGAATTGTTTCGGCAGGTGTTCACGGCACAACAAATGATCCTACGATAAAAACAAATCCTGAAGCATCATTTACCACCACTAAATTTGGCTAGCTACAATAAATGAACATGTTTCGAAAAATATCAACAGTTTTGGTGCTTTCCTGTCAGATAACATAAACACGAAGTCTTCGAATATAATATTCATTCTAATCCCATAACGAACATCAATAAACAACACGTGTGGACTCCAAGAATGCTTAGCTGTGACTGCTCTCATTCAACCCATCCAGGGTTATTCGTCATCTCCAACATTCGGCCACCCTGCAAAAGGTCTGTCCTCCGACCTTGTTCTGACCTGAGAACAAAAAAATATTAGAAAAACTCAACAGAGCAACGTTTATTCAATGGTGACGTTCACCAAAGGTAAAGTTTACCTTTTCTACTTACAGAGCAACGTTTGCTCAATGGTGACGTTCACCAAAGGTAACGTTTAGCTTTTCTACTCACATAGCAACGTTTGCTCAATGGTGACGTTCACCAAGGTAACGTTTACTTTTTCTACCTACAGAGCAACGTTTGCTCAATGGTGACGTTCCCCAAAGGTAACGTTTACCTTTTCTACTTACAGAGCATCGTTTGCTCAATGGTGACGTTCTGGAGACATAACTATTCTTGAGCGTCTATAACCTTCTCTGAGATCTTCCGCTTCGTGACAATAACATGTCCTGAATGTTTACAATTAGAATACATAATACGAAATACCACAATTGAAACAAGTTGAACATCCTTTGGAATTTTTTCTATTTTGATCTTGATGAACAGGACGACTATTAAATGAAGGAGTTCGGTAACTAGCACTAGAGACTGTGATTTGAGATGGCATATCTCCCATGGTATTCAAATAAGCATATAACAAATTAGCATCAGNCCCTATCGTGAGGAAATCCACGAAATGTACCGAAAATTTGGTCATCAGCAGCCGGCACTGTTCAACAGAAGAGCTCCAATCACAAATCATCGTCCGAAAATTAAACGAATTGAACGTCGAAGTTCTGTTCTGTATTTGTAGAGTAGGGAGGGCGAGTATAGGCCCACTTCACTTAGGCTACATGTGACCCATTGTACAAATTCCCGAGGTGCTGTCCTCCTAGGTCATCGTCCTTCCTGTCCTTTCCAGCTTTCCAGGAAGGTGGAAGGTTTTTTCGGAAAAACTGGACATGTCGCAACCGTACCACTAGAACAACACAGAACAATCAATTATGAGTGATACACAACCATTTGTTTGCCAGTTGTCTTCCAAGAAATCAGGAAAACCAACCGCCGAAGACGGATCACTCTTCACCACGACAATGCGACCTCTCACACATCGGCTCAAACAACTGCATTTTTGAGCACCTAAAACATGGATTCGATGAGTCATCCGCCGTATAGTCCTGACTTGGCACCGAATGACTTTTTTTATTCCTGCACGTAAAAACCAAACTGAGAGTCAACGTTTTTCGACACCTGAAGAAGCGGTTGCTGCATTCAGAATGTATGTTTTGGAGATACCTCAATCAGAGTGGCAAAAGTGCTTCGACAATTGGTTCAAACGCATGCAAAACTGTATAGATCTTCATGGGGAATATTTTGAGAAGCAATAAAGTGATTTTCGATTATTAATACTTGTTTTTGTTCTCTAATCCCGAAATATTAAAGTCACTCGTAAATACCTTCGGAAGTTTTGTAAATTCGCAATAACTTTTGTTGTATGTGAACTTTTTAGTCATTATTTCCACTCAGTTAAATACTTTGTTTGCGAAACAATTTCGTGAATGCCTCTCTGTTTGATGAAGTTTGTAATACTAATTATGTCCTACAAATAATTAGAAAGAATTCATTTATCGGAAGATGTTTTATAAATAGTTGATAGTGTGCGTATGTAAACATCATCCTAACTTGTTTTTTCCAGATTTGCTCATAATAATATTTTATCAAAACACTGCTAACATCATCCACATTATCGACATGCTCCTACTTGAACGCATTTATGAGGATTATTCAGGGTTTTCGATGAATTGCCAACAGTTTTAGGAGTATCATAAATTGCCAAGTTTGTACATCATTGTACCAATGATATTGAAGTCACAATGTAACATTTGGAATGAAAAGTCCCGGGCCTCAGAAAGAAACACGATTTTTTTTTCAAAATTGGCTTCATTCATCAACATAAACTCCATCAAGAGTCACCATTTTTGAAGAACGATTTATCTTTTGCCTCAAAATAGCTTCAGTTTCAATAATACCTCGTCATTCGAGCGAAATTTCCTACCGGAGAGCATTTTTCTGAGGTCTGCGAACAGTCAGTAGTCGCTGGGAGCCAAATCTGGCGATTAAGGTGGATGTGGGAGCTTTGAACAAGGTTCACCAGTTGCTCTCCACTCAGATGATGATCGTTTTGATTCCGGAGTAATGCTGTTAGGTATAAACATCTGTTGGGATTCTTTATTTTCTAAAAATATGCTGGATGTGACTGTCTGTTATGAAGGGAGGATATTTTATTGTATAATATTGGGTGCTCATCGAATCACCGTGGATGTCTAATAATAAATATTGTGTTAACCGGATTTATGAAACCGTTATAAAAAATTTATATTTAGATTGTGGGTGACTGATTATGCCACTAGCACTCTGTCCGATATGGCTGTTGACATGATGTTTTCGAACGTAATGGTTTTCAAATGTTTCTTTCATTTCGTAAAGCAGATTTCGCCCAAGTAGAACAGATTAGATGAAATATCCAGATCGAAACTCTGCATATTGCACATTGTTACCTTATTTTAGAATTTATTGAATGAACGCTAAACTCATGAGCATGGCAAGATGTATGTTTTCTATGCCTTTGAATGCCGAGATCTTTTTGAAGTACTTGATGAAATGGGTTTTTGATTGAAAAAATATATGTATAATATACTGATATATATTATACAGCGTGGCCCACGGTTGATGGTAGGTTAGACGTTTCTGGAAAACGCAAAGCATGATTTTTCTGAAAATTTCACCTCTCACATTTCCTTACCTGTTCTATCGATCTAAAATATTTTCAGCATTGCGGCGTTGCCACTTCTATCAATAAGTCCTAGCAATTATATTTTTTTAAATGGAACACTGTATATTAATAAATTTTTGGAATTGCTCTGGTATTTTAATACCTTTTTGTTAATAATGTCCTATACCTATCTCTATCTGTTTTCGAGATAAAAAATAAATTGTGCTAAATATGGTCCAAAACATAGCCTTAATTGAAATTAAGTACATCAGTACTCTCAATTCATGAAAAGTTGATATTTTGATGATAGTTTGGACAAACTCGAAATATTCAAATAAC